GAACTATTTTTAGTTTTTTTTCAAAATTATATTTAAAATATTTTTTTAATCATTTTTTTGGCTTTTTTATTTATTTAAATTATTTTTTGGAAGTTTAAAACTTTTATGTTAATATTTATTTAATTTTTTATTTTATTCTTTAAAATTTTCTGTGATGCCCTTTTTCCAAACACTTCCATTCTGACTTCCTTAAATCATGCTCCACTTTGCCATTCTTATCAGCCTCAACCTCATTCTATATTACAAATTCTAACAAGAAACACAGTCACACATACACATTTATGGTCACACACATATTTATGTGCATGATGACAATAAAAACAAATTGGAAATTTTATTAACATTGTTTTTTTTTCTTTTTTGGTTAAAGAAGTTTAGCACCAAATCCCATTAAAAAGGAACCCCACCAAAATTTGTTTTGTTTCACGGCAATATCAAGCGAAGACAATTAAAGGAGCACGCACATTTGTGTCTTTTTGAAATGAGAAGAAGAGGCAGCAGCAGCAACAACATACCTCACTTGTTTCAGGAGAGACAGACGAGCCAGCATAAAAAGGAAATGACATGGCAATGCCTTAAGGCAGCAACAGTAAACTAGCAAAACACACACAGGCACATACACATATTGTTGTTGGGGAACAAATGGTCTCGGGTAATAACAACAACAACAAAAATAACACACAACAAGAACTGTTTTGGCAAGGAAAACAACAACAACAGCTATACACTTGAAGATTTCGTTCTTATGCTAGTAATGACAAACACACACGTTTACTTCTATACAAGAGACAGACTGAGAGAGAGAGAGTAGTACAATAACGGTTACTCTTGTTCTTCTTCCTGGTTTTTTGTTTGTTAAGATGCCCTGTTGTGTGTTGCCGTTTTACCGTTAGTCCTTGTTGTGAAAGAAATATACACACTCACTATGCCTCTCCCTCTCTCTGTTTCACTCTCACTGATTTCTTAAGGAGAAATAATAATAATCTCCTTGGTTTATTTTGTTCATTCTTCCTTAGTTAACTAAGCAAAGATGCAATAAAAAACATTAAAGGATGAAGAAGGAAATAACAAAAATCCAATTGGATTTTCTTGTCTTCATAATAAATGTCGTTTTTTAATAAATTTTCTAATAATAACAACTATAATAAATTAAGTGTGACTTACTTTTTATCGTTTACACATTGTTTTCCCTGCTATATAAGCTGGCAATTTGTTTATCAGCTTTTGTTCGTTCTTTTTGTTTTGTTTTTTAATTCTATTTTATGTTTCACTCACTAATATATTTTTTATCACTTATTTTTTTCCAATTTTTCCTTTTGCTTTCAATTTTCTTATTTCATTTTTATAGATTTTCAATTACTTTTTTTTTTTTGATTTTATATTCACTTTATCTAAAGGAATTTCTTCTATATTTATTTTTTTTTTATTTTTGCATGCACAATTTATCACTTATTTTAAAGTTTCCATTCTGTTGTTGTTATGTTTCTTTCAAAACATTCATGGCCAAATGGTCCCGGTCCGGTCTTTATATCTTTACGCTCGAAAAGTCAAAACTGAACTTTAGAATAGCTCGCTCACTGGGTTTTATACTCCCTCAAATGGCTGGCCAAATTCTAGGCTTTCCGTTTTGTTGTTGTTTTTGTTTTGCTTTGCAAAATATCCAGCGTACCGAAAAAAGCAACGTAACCGAACAAACAAACGAAGAAATCAACTTGACTCGCGGCTATATGCGACTGACTGACTGAGGGATTTTCTGTGTTGTGTTAGTTGACACAGCCATACTATTTTTCGCTGCCGCAGCAACGACTGCGACGTCAGCGGCAAACACGACGCCGTTGTGATAAAAAGGGAACATATGAAATTGATGGATTATTATAGCCTTACATGTGAGTGGATAACAACGGCACTTTTCACTCTCTCTCTCTGTCTCATTGGAGATGGCGACACATACACACACTCTCTTAAACAAGAAAAGACCTGCCTTGCACAGCCTGTGTGATAAAAAGATGGGGAAAATAATCAACAGCACCCACAATTTTTGTCGTTTCTTATCAAAATAAACCACGCAACCGAATAAAATACACCTCCTGCTGTGCTTCTTTGTGGTTTTTCTTTGTTCCTCTTTTGTTGTTTTATCCAAAAATTTTATTTTCCGATTAGCAAAGTGGTTGTTCGTATGTCCGCCACCAGCAGCAGCAACAGCACATGACAAATTTTGTGAGGCAAACGCCACACACACATCCTTTTGACAGATAATGCAACACCAGCTGTGAGCAACCGACTAAAAGAGAGGGAGAAAAAATAAATTGGGAGTAGATATGTGTGTGTGTGTGTGGTAACTGTGAGGTGGTTAAGCACAGAAGAAAAACACAAAATAAAAATTCGACATCACCTGTTTACCATCACATGCTCTTGATGGCCAAGACTTGGTCTGTCGCAAGTGTTCTCTCTCTCTCTCTCTGTCAATGTCTGTCAATCGTTCTCTCTCTCCGCATTATAAACAACTAATCAGCTGGTATTTGTTTTCAAATGCAGTATTATTTTGTAGAAGAAAATAACAGTAACTTTTTTTTGGGGGAATGTTATCAGTGGAACAAATTGGAAATAGAACACAGTGCTTAAAGCGAGTAAATGGAATGAAAATATTGAATTTATAGAAATGATATGAATTATTAATAAAAGCATCTAAAATTTAATTAATTTAATCTTTTAAATAAAAAAATAGAAAAAATAATTCCAATTTGTAGTTTAACTGAAAATACTTATATCAAGTGGGAAATAATATTTGTTAAAAATTTTAGATTAAAAAATATTTAAAAATAAAATCAAAATTTTCAATTGACAAAAAAGTAATTTCTTAAAAATTAAAAATTCCCTATTGAAAATGATTTAAACAAATCATGCCTAACTTAAAAAAAAAATTGAAAAGCGGAAAATTTTGAATTTTTGAGAAAAAATTTTGCATAGAAATTTTGAAAAAAAAAAATAAAAACAAATAGTAGAAATATATTTCTGAAATTTTGATTTTTTTTTTTTTTTTTTTTTTGAAAGAAAATAAACTTTTGAAGTTAAAAGAAAGTAGAAAAAATATTTCAAATTTAATTTTTTTCTGAAAAATATTTTTATCAATGGTGATTTTTTTTTAATCCAAGCTTGAAAAAACTGTGCTAAGATTTAATAACAATTTTGATAAAAAGTTTTTTTAAATAAATTTTCCTAAAAAAGTTATTTCAAAGAAAAATAAAATTTTTCAAAATAATTTAAAAAAAATACAAAAAATTCAAGTTTTTTGAAAAGTTATTAAAAAAATAAAAAATGTAAAAATGCTACATAAAAATAAAAATATTTTTTTATCGTTATTAAAATGAATGGCAGCCCTAGTATGTTAACAACAAAGCTAAAGAAAAATATAGCATACTTTTAGGTGCAAGTGGTTAACCCAACTAAATGAAATAAATATTGATCGTTACATTTTTAAATAATTTGAAATATAAAGGGCGCCTGGGAAATATTGGTTGCAAATTCGATTATATGAATGAGAACAACAATTTTAGGTTAATTTTGAAATGTTCCGATTTGAACCAGAAAAGCGTATTTTTGGTAGGAGTTGTCAATGGAAAAAATATTCTATATACAATTTCAGTATAGGTCCCAAAAAAAAGAAAATCTCTGGCTTTAGTACGAATGTTTCCTAATTCCTTATCAACTAACTAAAAAACATCACTTTTTAGGTTATTTTTTAATTTTTCTAAATTTAATTCAAACGAGCATATTTTTGGTGGAGCGTATTTTGGGCGGACTTCAATGGAAAACGTATTCTATATAAAATTTCAGTATGAGTCAGTAAAAAATCGACTTCATATTGGAAATTTTAAACAACTATTTTGGTCATTTTTATATTTTTCCCAATCTGGTCCATTTTTCCACAATTCGTTATTTTAGAGGGTTGATGTCGATGGAAAAAATATTCTACAGAAGATTTCAGTATAAGTCATCGAACAAAGAAAATCTCTAGCTATGACACGAATGCGGGAAAATTCGTAACAATCAAATAAATAAAAAACATAATAATATTAAACATTTTAGGGTTATTTTCAAATCTCCCCAATTTTCCGTTGAAGACAAAATTTTTCGGGGTTAGTGTCAGAGGAAAATTTATTCGACAGAAAATTTCACTATGGATCTCCGACAAATTAGAATCTGTAGGTTTAGTAGATATCGGTAAAATTTGGGTATTTAAAAAATGTTATTGGTATTTTTTTTTTAGAAAAATAAACATTTTAGGGTTATTTTCAAATTTTCCCAATTTTAAAGCGAAGACTAAATTTTTCAGGGTTGGTGTCAGGGAAAATTTATTCTACACAAAATTTCATTAAGGGTTTCTTACGAAGTGGAGTCTGTAGGTTTAGTAGATATCAGTAAAAAATGGACATTTGGTTATTTTATTTCTTTCCTTTGAAATAATAAAAAATACAGTTTTGTTTTATAAATTCTTTTTTTATTATTGTTTTTGTTTTATTATATTTTCTATATAAAATATATATCAATTCGATTTTTGTTCGTTAGTTGTTCCTTTTTTGTTGTTGTTTTACATACAATATAAAATGTATTGCTTTTTAAGACTAATAGGTATGTTTGTATGTGTAAAAAGATAGTGATACAAAATAGATGGTAGGAATCAAGACATTACTAAAAACGTAATTAAACACATACGTAGTAACCTGGGGGAAGGGGGCGAAGAATTAAGGACAAATGGAACTTTTCACAAATTTGTTATGGGAAAAATTCCACCACAAATATTTGGAATTCGTTGAAAAATTTTGTTACTTAAAAACTATTAAACGAGCACGACGAAAGAGATTCTCTTATATATTCCACACATTCTCCGAGGTAATGGTGGAAAACAAAACCTTAAAGTAATTTAATTTCTTTGGATATAATTTGTGCTTAACCTTAATAATGGTTGTGGCAACGGTGGTTGTTTGATTGTGAGAGGGTTTGCCTTTATTTATGGATCAATAAAGGAAATCATAATATAACGTGTACCATTGGTTACACGTAAGCCTTCATGATAATGGGTCAAACGACCGGGATGCATAAGCATCCAACCTTTTTTGGTGGCCGTAACGGAACAATTGTAGCGCAGGAAACGACAACCACCACCCTCGTAGTCAATGCCGGCCCGATTCAAGGCAATATTAATGGTATAGGTGGAGGAGTCATGATGTGGTCTCAAGGAGGGTTGTTCATCGGGACGATAGCGCACCACAAAGTTCATCAGGGAGCGAGGAGGCTGAAAAAACCAAACATATTATTATTTGTAATCTTAAGAAAGAATAAAATGTACTTACATTATGATAATAACCCAAAAAGACCTTCTCCTGTAGTGGCCGTACAAAGAGATTCAAAAATTGCAACCATAGAGCATCCAAACCAACTTGTTTCATGTGAATATCCCGGGTAGGTACAGCCTCATAGCCACCCTCTAAACGTTCATCTTTATTACTGCCATCGGACCATTTACCAAAACCTTCCATAATGGCAACCATATCATCACAAAAAGCATCGGTGGCAATTTTAAACCAAAATACATCAGTGCAGGGTTGATTGTATACATAGTTGTCTTCCAATTGTTCTTGATATTCGGGATGAATATATTTGCGAGTCCAATCGAATTTATTCGTAAATAAGGTGTAGAAATCGGGCCGTGTTACAGTGATATCGAAATTATCCGCATTAACCAAATGACCATAGAAACGATCGTTGATAATGAACATATGGACGCCCTAAGGAATGAAAATAAAACAAAGAGGAAATGGAAAATTAGTAAGGATATTCAGATACTGTGATATTATGATCTATAAAATAATAATAATAAAATTTCTAATATAAAATTATTTAGAAAAATAAACGAAAATAACCAAAAATGTTCATCCACCTAAAAAATTACCAATAATATTTTTTAAATACCCATTTTTTACTGATATCTACTAAAACTACAGACTCCATTGACAGCAACCCTGAAAAGTAGAGTCTTCCATGTGAAATTGGGTAAATTTTAAAATAACCCTAAAATTTTTATTTTTCTAAATTAGTAATTTACCAATATTTTTTGTTTGTTTTGAATGCCCAATTTTTACTGATATTTACTAAACCCACATATTCCATTTGGTCCACGACCCATAGTGAAATTTTGTGTAGAATAAATTTTCCATTGCCACCAAAAATGAAAATTTTAGTCTTCCCTGTGAAATTGAGCAAATTTGAAAATAACTCAAAAATGTTTATTTTTTTCATATATTCAAAGTTGCTACGAAGTTTCCCGCATTCGTATCATAGCTACAGATTTTCTTTGTTCGGTGACTCATAATGAAATCTTATGTATAATATTTTTTCCGTTGACAAAAACCCGATAAATTAACGAATTGTGGAAAAAATTTACCTGATTGGGAAAAATAAAAAAATTGCCAAAACAGTTTTTTAAAATGTCCAATTTTGAAGTCGATTTTACTGATAAATTCTAAACCTACAGATTTCGTTTTGTCGGAGACCCTTAGTGAAATTTTGTGTAGTATAAATTTTCCATTGACAACAACCGCGAAAAATTTAGCCTTCTATGTAAAATTTAGAAAATTTATAAAAATAATCCAAAAATGTTTATTGTTTTTATATATTTAAAATTACTACGAATTTAAGCGCAGTTGTATCGAAGCTAGAGATTTTTTGGTCGTTGACTTATGTACAATATTTTTTCCATTGACAACAAACCTCTCAAATAACGAATTGTGAAAAAATTGACCCGATTGGGAAAAATATAAAAATGATCAAAAACTGTTAAAATATCCATTTTCGAAGTCGATTTTTTACTGACAAATTCTAAACCTACAGATTTCATTTTGTCGAAGACCCATAGTGAAATTTTATGAAGAACAAGTTTTCCATTGACGTCAACACCCAAAAACATGCAATTTTAAGTCAAATTTGAAAATACAACTAAAATATTTATTTTTTTTTATTGCTATAGTCAAAATTGCTATGAATTTCCGATTTCATAGCAAGATATTTTCTTTGTTCGGTGAAATCTTATGTATCTTTTATTCGGTGACTAATAATGAAATTCTCCCTAGAATATGTTTCTCATTGACACTTCCGTTCGAAAAAGGAGTTATCTGGGTCAAATAGTGAAATTTTTAAAATTAACCTAAACATTATCTTCTCTTGCACATAACCAAATTTGTTGGCATAATTTTCAATGTTATTATTGTATATAGAAATTGATTTTGTTCGGGAACTTATGGTGAAATTTCGCGTAGAATAATTTTCTCATTGACATCTCCCACGAAAAATCTACTCTACTGGATCAAATGGGCCGATTTTCCAAATTAAACTTAAAATGATTTTATCGTTCACATAACCAAATTTGTTTACTAATATTTCTCATATAATTATTGTATATAGAAACTTATTTTGTTCGGCAACTTATGGTAAAATTTCCCGTAGAATTTTTTTCTCATTGACACCTCCGACCAAAAATGCAGTATTCTAGGTCAAATGGGGACCTTCTTGAAATTAAAAAAATATAAAATTAATAATTCCAAAGTTTTTAGTGATTTTTACCCAAACTTCTAAGCCTCCAGAGCCTTAAGGCCACTTTGCTAAGATCCAAGACCTAGCAGTCAATGTATTTCCTAAGCTTACTTGTAAAATTTGTAAAAAAAATAATTTTCTTCAAAGGCGTTGTTATTTCTCTCCAAGACGTTGTTATTTCTTCACCATTTTTGTATAGTTTTTTATGTGATTTAAATATTTCTGTTACACCCTGGGTGGACCTTGGCCGGATTCTTCAACATTTTCAAAAATCAAAATTTCAAATTTGAACGAAATCGCTTGAAAATTGCTTCTTTTATGGTAAACATTACCAAATTGCCTTGTAAATGACGTTAGATGGCTTAGTTGTCAAAATTTAAAGCATACTTTGGTTTCAATTGCCTTCTATTGAGGAAAAATTATGAAAATTAATAAAAATAATAAAAATTAACGAAAATTAATTGAAAATAAAAACAATTAATAATATTTACTATTATCCCAGACTATATTTTCCGGAAACTGCTGGAATTTTCCTGCAATTTCCCTTGGGAAAAATAAAAAAGACTCTTTATAATACCATAATAACAAATAAATCTCGTAACTTGTGCGGAAATTAATTTGCATAGGCATTATTCACTATTTAAATAATAGTAAAATTCTGCTCTTCTTCTTCTCCTCAAAAAAGTCGTACTTACCGCATTTCTAAGTGATTCACACATGGCCATATCGGGGTCATAATATTGATGATCATAGTTGAGATGTTCAAAGGCAGTGTTTTTGATCAAATAAATGCTGGACACATAAGGCACATTCCACATGCCACTGGAAAGAGAAGTAAAGAGAAGAACAAAAAAAATTAAAAAATATGGATAAAAATAAAATCACAAACACAGTAAGTCGCAATGAATGTAAATTGAGCAACAGAGCCATTCGGAACAGACAGAAACAAATATATTATCTAAGGGGATAAAAGTGTAATCAGATTAAAGACCTGAGAATCTCAGTCATTTATAAAAAAACAGGGGTCACAAAACACCATGACTAACCCCTTGCTAGTGGGGCATGCTCAAAACAAATGATCACCCACAACTACTCCTCATAACGCTCATCAACCTCAACGCTCATCTCAACCATCCATCACAATAACGGGCTGGCTATGTGAGTGAGAGTGTGGGTTGGCAGCCCGACTGGCTGGCTGTTTGGTTGGCTCACAGTTTGATTTTTCTGACTGGGGGTCACCAGTATACCATAGACACTTCAAGCTCCAACATACCAACCAGGCAGCAGCGCAATAGGTGTCCAAATTAAATACTCAACAGCATTTAAGGCTGAATTGAAATTCACGCTGTTCTGAAAACAAAAAAAATTGCAAAAGCGAAAAACAACAACAAATCTATTTTTAATTTTTTTGGGTCAAAAACGCCGTTACAAAAACAAAAACCACAAAAAAAATTAAAAATTTTATTTTTTAAGTGGTCCGGTCGGATTGATTGGTGGACAAAAACGCATTCTCTTCGTTGTGAAAACAAAAAAAATGTGTTGGTCTTCTCATCGTCATCAACAGCAGCTGAAATTTTTAATATTTATTGTGATTTTATTAATACGGGCCAATACGTTGGAGGGTCAAAGTAAGGGATTTTGAAAGAAAAACATATTTTTTTTAATTAAAAAAAAACAGAATTAAATAAAATATTTTTTCCAATTTTTTAAAAAACATTATTTTTTTTGAAAATTTTTAAAATTCTTCGATCCTTTTCCTAGGAACTGTCAGTGGCCGTGGTGTATTACGTCGAAATTATACGGGTAAAAAACCAGTGCTGATACAACATCGTACCCCAGATGCTGTCAATTATTATGATCATGAAAATGTATGGTGAAGTGAAGCAAGATTGATCAAGAAAATTTTGGATTTATTGAAAAGTTGTTTTTTTTTTTTTGTAGGGTGCCAAAATAATCAAATCCTCCCACTTTGAATTGGACTATACATTGGGACGAAAAATCACCTTCTTTTGTATGGCTCAGGGTAAGTTTGGAAAAGAAGTGAAATAAATTTTGAATTTCATAAAATTTTTAATTTCACTTCCCCGAAGGTAATCCTCGCCCCACCATAACCTGGTTTAAAGATGGCTCGGAATTGTATCAGCATCGTTTCTTTCAGGTATGTCAAATATAAAAAAATCTAGATAATCTAAGCAAGATAATAAGATAAATAAATGATTAAAGTAAGATAATTAGATAACTAATTCATCTATGTTAGATAGATAAATAATAATAGATAATGTATCTATTATTATTCATTTATCTAACATAGATAATTTATATATGTTATCTAAATAACATAGATAATGTATCTATGTTGTCTAAATATCATAGATAATTTATTTATGTTATCTAAATAACATAGATAATGTATCCACCTTACGTAGATAATATATCTACGTTATATAACTAATATAGATAAGATATAGATATAGATATCTACGTTATCTAAATAACATAGATAAACTATTTACGTTATCTAAATAACAGATAATTTATCTACGTTATGCAAATAAAGTAGATAATGTTTATATATAAATGACATACATAATGTGTGTACGTTTATTAATAACTTATGTAATGTATCTAAGTTATATAAATAAAGTAGATAATTTATCTACGGTATATTAATAACTTAGTTGATGTATCTACGTTATCCAAACACCTCGGATAAATTATCTAACTCATCCAAATGTATCTACGTTATCCAAACATCTCAGATAAATCATCTAACTTATCTAAAATGTATCTACATTATTCAAACACCTCAGATAAATTATACAACTCATACAAAATGTGTCTCAGTTATCCAACCACCCCAGATAAATTATCTAACTCATCTAAAATGTATCTATGTTATCCAAACACTTAGTATAAATTATCTAAATCATCCAGATAAATTATCTAACTCATTTAAAATGTATCTACGTTATCCAAAAACCGCGGGAAAATTTTCTAACTCATCTAAAATGTATCTTCGTTATCCAAAGACCTCAGATAACTTATCTAACTCATTTAAAATATATCTACGTTATCCAAACACCTCAGTTAAATTATCTAACTCATTTAAAATATATCTTCGTTATCCAAACACCTCAGATAAATTATCTAAGTCATCTAAAATGTATCTACGTTATCCAAACACCTCGGATAAATTATCTGACTCATCCGAAATGTATCTATGTTATCTAGATAATGTGTAAAAGGTATCTAAGTTGTCCAAATGACATCTAAAAATTATCTGGACTATCTAGATAAGGGTTATAATAACCCCATAATTTGGATAGTGTATCTACATTATTAAAACACATCGTTTCTAAGTGGTCTAAATAACATCTAAAATTTATCTCAGTTATCTAGATAAGGTTTAAAATGTATCTTCATTATCCAAACGCCCCAGATAATTTATCTAACTTATTCAAACGCATTGGATAATGTCTTGGCAATATCCCAACACCTCATATGATTTATCTAACGTAACTAAACTGCTCGATTACGTATTTACATTATCTATACATGCGGATAATTTATCTACATTCTTCAAAAATTGACAGATAATTTATCTTTGCTATCCAAACCTAATGAATAATGTATATCTACATAAAATAGTTTATTATATCTACATTATCTAGATAATGTAAGTTATCTATGGTATCTGTTATCTAGAAAATGTAAAAAATGTATCTACCTTTCATAAATATCATTTAGAACGTATCTAAGCCATTAAATTTATTCCAGATAATGTTTGCTTCAATTTATCTAAAGTATAATACTACTAATAACATATTTATCTAGAAATTATAGCAATAAATCTTTTTTCTTTTAAATCCAAAAATGTTTCCATATTTTTCTTGCAGGTCCATGAGGCCCATATCGATAATAATATTATTAAATCGAAAATGGAAATTGATCCGACTACACAAATGGATGCGGGTAAGTACAGGACGTATTATGACCCCAAAATTAAATTGAAAACTAATTCAAACAAATTATGTATCTTTCCAGGATACTATGAATGTCAGGCGGACAACATTTATGCCATTGATCGGCGAGGTTTTCGCACCGACTATGTTATGGTGAATTTTTGAAGATATCGCCACTCCCTTTTTCCATCTTGTATTTATTTTTACATTTTGTATACGAAAAGAAAAAACAACAAAACAGAAAAATTGAAACCGTTTAACTTAATAAAATTAAAAATGTAGAAAATTCTAAAATATTACAACAAACAAACAAGCCTATTTTGAATTTATTTAATGGATTTAAATGATTCCGTTTAAAAGGTGTCAAAAACGGATCAACTGAATTGAATTGGGCGCCATTGTGGTATTTTCTGGAATTTCATCAATAAAGAAGACCAGAAGCCATTCACCGCGTTCGTCGTTGAATGTTTGTGGACTTTTCTCGCGGATTTTTGTCGTTGTTGTTATTGTTGATATTATTTTGTAACGAAAAAATTACTTCAATTATTTAATTTAAATGCGCGCAACAATAACAACAAATAAGTGTAGTACAGAGAATGATTTTTAAGAGATGGAGAGAATTTTTTATGTGTGGGAAAATTTAATGGAGAGCCAAGAAAGAAAAACTAAGAGTTAAAGCGAGAGAGAGCTGGGATGGGGGTACATCATGCAGTAAATACTGCGCAGCAAATATGGGTATGGGATAAAACATGTAGTCAAAGGTATTTGAATTGAGATTTGGAATATTATTTTTTTTAAATAAAACAACACAAGAATAACAGTTATTTTATGACAGTATAACAGTTTGTTAGGGTAGTATAACACTTTTAAAATGAATAAAATTATGTTCGAATTGCTAATAAAAGTCGAAAAAAATAGTAAACGATAAAAACACGAGTATAACAGTTTGTTAGGGTAGTATAACATTTTTAAAATGCATGTAATTATGTTCGAATTGCTAAATAAATGCGAAAATTTGTTTAGCTATAAAAAAACACGAGTATAACAGTTATTTTATGACAGTATAACAGTTTGGTAGAGTAGTATAACAGTTTTAAAACACATACAATTATGTTAAAATTTCTAATAAAAGTCGAAAGAAATATTTAACTTAAAAAAACAGAAATATAACAGTTATGTTATTAAAGTATAACAGTTTGATAAAGCATTATAACAGTTTTTATACGACCGTATTTATTTTAGCATTGCTAATAAAAGACGTATAATAAAGCAACTGTTAAATTTTTACAGTATAACAGTTTGGTAATGTTCTCATAAATTGTTTTGTATAACACTTTCAAAACAAACTGTTATACTGCATTGAAAAATCCGTATATGTGATTTTTTTATTTTTCTTTCAATTTAGAGCCCCGACTAAAATTTCAAAATATATTTTTGGACATATTATTTTGTATAACAGTTTCAAAATAAACTGTTATACTGCATGAAAACCCCCGTATATGTGTCTTTTTACTTTATTGAAATTTTATAACCATAATTACAATTTAAAATATTGATTTTTGGTTATATTACTTTGTATAACAGTTTCAATAAAACTGTTATACTGCATGAAAAAACCCCGTATATGTGATTTTTAATTTTCTTTAATATTAAAATTAAAAAAATACATATTTTTTGTCATATATTTTGTATAACAGTTTCAAAAAAAAAACTGTTATACTGCATGAAAATACCGGTAAATGTGATTTTTTATTTTTCTTCCAAATAAGAGCCCTGACTAAAATGTAAAAATATATTTTTGGTCATATTATTTTGTATAACAGTTTCAAATTAAACTGTTATACTGCCCGAAAATACCCGTAAATGAGATTTTTTAATTTTCTATAATATAAGTAATAAAGTAATAATAATAATGTAATAAAATAAAAAGTAATAAAAATTAAAAATAAATATTTTTGGTCATATATTCTGTATAACAGTTTCAATAAAACTGTTATACTGTGCAGAAAAATTTTTTTTTTTAGATTTTTTCGGAATTTTTCTCTAAATTATAATTTAATTGGGAATTTGATGGATTTTTTTATTGCATTATTGTCCAAATAAAAGAGTTAAATAAAATCTATTCAAAAAAATGATTTGCATCCATTAATGGCTTCTGGAAAAAATCTAATTTAGCCAATGAACCCAAAACACAATATGCAGTTTAATCAGCTACCTTCCCCACACTATCTCTCTCTCCCCTCGCAATGCCCTACAAACAAGTCTGGTGTTCCCCAGACTAATGGGAGCCGACATCCATCAAGAGTTAACTGCCTGTGAGTTTTATGAGTTACGGAAAGAGGTAAATTGTGAAATGTGAATTCGAGACAGAGAGGAAATTTTGAATTCAAAATTAACTCAGATGATCTGCAGATGAGCTTGAGTTAATGCAGATGGGGGTGAGAAAAATTGTGAGTGATAAAAACATAGAAACCCAATGAGCTTGTCTGTGCCCATGGAGGTCAGCTTTTTTGGGTAGATCATGGATAGCTGTGACATCGAATTTTCAGTTCTAAATAGGAAATCCAAACGTGCAAAACGGCAAACAAATAAATCGGCAAAATCAGCAGCACAACAATTGGTCCATAGAGAGAGAAGAGTGTAGATCACAACAACAAAAAAAGAAAGGGAACGTGTTGGCACTCGAAATTAATTGAAACAATTTTAACGAAATCAAAAAAAAAAGGAAAATAAAAAATAGAAAAAAAAATTGAAAAAATTACGGACCCAAAAAGGAAGGAAATTTGACCACCAGACAATAATTTTGAAAAAAGAAAATCTTCTAATAAAAAATGTATTTAAAAGTGGTGTTGCTGTGTGTGTGCATTTTGATATTGACCAGCCCCGTAACTGAAGGACGACGTGGCCGTGGCAGAGGTCGTACCAAATCGAGAGTACAAATTGGTTTACCCATTACAGGGAAATATAGAGATCCCGAATCGGATCAATATTACAATAATAATAATGTAAGAAGAGGGGAAATATTATTTCAGGAATGGTTTTGAAAAACTATAGCCTATTTGTAGGGTGCGAAAATTTTGCAAGCTTCCCACTTTGATTATGAATATGTTTTGGGCCACAAAATTGCCTTTTTGTGTGTGGCCAAGGGTAATCCAAGGCCCCAGATCACTTGGTACAAGGATGGTACGGAGATTTTCCAGCATTTGTATATGCATGTGAGTATGCAGGATGAAATCGGAAAATAAAAAAATACAAAAATTAAAAAAAAAAAACATTTTTTTCTTTAAGGTCCATGAATGGCGTATTGGTGAGGATCGTGTCAAATCGAAAATTGAAATTGATCCGGCCACCCAAATGGATGCAGGGTTGTATGAATGTACCGCCGATAATATGTATTCCATAGATCGTCGTAGTTTTAAAACAGATTTTTCAATTGCTTTCGATTAAAACCACCAAATCAGCAACAGCAAGAGAGATGGATGTTGGAGAGAATGGAGGAGGATGTTTTGTTTAACAATTTACTCAACCCACCAAAAAACAAAACATGAGAGGAGAGAAGAATCAAAAAATATTCAAAAGCCAAAAAAATATCACACCAAAAAATTGAGTATCTGACTGAGGCCAGTGGGAGACAAAAAAGCTTGAGTGTTAGTTTTAAGCTTTTAATCATCATCACCTTTAAATTGTCCAAAGTTCGGAACTTTTTTATGTACATTTTGTCATTTTTTAAACAGCAGAATAAATTGAGAATTTTCTAAAAAAATTGTGAAACGTTGTGCAAACAAATCTACAACCTTAAATGCTTTGAGGGCTCTCAAAATAATTTAAAAATAAACTGCAGCAGATCAGCGATTAGAGGAAATTGAACAAAAGAGACCGACCATCTGAGTTTTAGAGGCAGATGATCATGATTAAGAAATTGTTCGGTGATTATTTAAATAACAAATAAATGGGTCGCTTAAATCCAGTCTCGAAATTGGAAGGGAAAAAAGAAGAAGAAAAAAATTATGGGATTATTTCATTAAATCTTAACAAAATTGGGACAGGTGAGGAGAGCTGCTTAGCAAATTGAAAAATTCAAACCACTGTAACCAAGGCAAAGCGAAAATAAATCTTAAAAAATTGCAGAAGATTGGGAGAAAATGATTAGGGGAATATTGGGAGTTTGGTGCTCCATTTACATAAAATCGGACGAAACTGTATATGGGAGCTATATCTAAATCTGAACCGATTTCAACAAAACTTGGCATACATAAATTTGGACCTAATTCAGTACTCTGTACAAAATTTTGTCTCAGTCGGACCAATATTGGCAGTATGGTGCTCCATTTACATAAAATCGGACGAAACTATATATGCGAGCTATATCTAAATCTGAGCCGATTTTTTCCAATTTCAATAGGGTTCGTCCTTGGGCCAAATTATGGACATGTGCCAAATTTCATTCAAATCGAATCATAAATGCGACCTGTACTTTGTTCAGAAAAATACATAGACGGACAGACTGACTCAGAAACTGATTCTATGCATATTCTCAAAATGAACCATGGGTCTATCTCGATTAGGGGACTATGAATCTACATTTCAACTTTTCTGAAATTAGTTATTTTACCTCCGGAAAGCAAAAATGACATATTGCAGTCACTTTTGATCGGAAAATGCTTTTAAAAGCCTCAAAATATCGGAAATCGGGGCATGGACTCAACATACAAAAATTTCCGCTTGGAAGTTTTTAATCCTGAAAAAATCGGGAACGCAATAAAGCAACTTCTACGATTGGTTAGGACCTTCAAAATTCATAAAATTCGTCGGAACCCTAATATTGAAAAAAATCCTTCAGGCATTACTTTATCCTGTGAACATCCCCTGAAATGGCTAAGATCGACATTGAATTAACTTTTCTCTATGGAGATTCACAAAATCAATTTGGTTTTAAATGTTCTGTAGAGAATTAGTTTCCTGATGAAAAAAAATTAGGAGGTTTCCAGGCTATCTCCCATCCAACTCTGTTACAATTTAATTGCAAAAAAAATAATAATAAAAAAATGCTCTGAAAAAGTACTCACATAATATCACCCTTGACAATATCCACATAATCGGGTGATCGGGCATAATAGCCACCTTCGGATAGGGCACCCCAGAAATTACTCCACAGCTCATTGTATTTGGTGACAACGGGGGCAATGAATTGTCTGTAATAAAAAACAAAATAAATTTTAAAATATTATTTCTAAATTTGAATATTCAAAAATTGTTACCTATTATAGGTCAGCAATTCTCTCAAGACTTCTTTATCATCGATATGGGTATCGGCATCAACAAAGAAAATATAATCGCTTTTCTTTTGTTTGGCTTGTTGGCTGGAATGGAGGATGAAGAAAATGAAAACATTAATGCAATTTATGTAAAACAAAATTACAATGAATCTGGGTAGAACGCAAAAAATATATTTTAAAATCCACCCCTTTTGGGAGGACTCAAAAAATACATTTAAAAAATCCCCGCCTTTTGGATGGACTAAAAAAATATATACTATTTTTATTTTTTTAATTCGGTTTATAACAAAAACTTACACAGCCAATTGCCTAGCCCGACGCTCATCAAATTGATCGGTGGATAGCACAATTTTTGCCGACAAATATTCCTCCTCGTATTTCTTGACATGGGACTTGGCCATGGAATCCAAATATTCCACACCACTGTAGATGAAGAGATGCATGCGATTTTTGGGATAATTCAAATGGGCTGTGTGATTCAGGAACATATCAAAGAAAGGCACGGGAGTGATACCAATCAGGGCCAAGGTGACAATGGGTAGATTGTTGTCCTAGAAAAAAAGAAAACAATAAAAAGAAATTAAAGAAATAAACCAATTACTGCCTATTTCAATAAAATTCGAAACGAAGCAAAATTGCACTAAAAATATTGAAAATTCAAAATTTTGTTAGTTCGAGATTTAGATGTTTTGAATGTTTTTGATTTTTTTTAAAAAAAAAGTAGCATATTATTCTTTTAATCCTGTGGAAAACTCACATCAATCTGCACCCGATTCTCCTGACAAATCAAACAATGGCCATTAAAGGTGTTCGCCAAATAATTGGCAAAGGCATTCAGTTCAACTTTACTCGGCCCATTGCCATGAATGACACTGGGAGTGGTTAGGAAGTTGATATTTTTCAAAGTGCCACGATTGGTTTCCAAATTAACATCCAATTTGACATCATCCTTAGCGCCATTAAGATTTTGGAATATTTTCGATTCAACATCCAATTTCATGCCCAATTTTGCTCTCAACTCTTCATTGAGATATGACTTTGTGTAGTATAGCTGATCATCTTCTAAATTTTCAATGGTGGGCTGCAACAATTGCCATATTTCCGAAGCATAACCAATAAAGGCACCAGAATTTAAATATCTTGAAGCCTTAGGTTCCACACTGGGATATTTGGAGGCCAACTTTACATCAGGCCAGCAGTATTTTTCGGCAGAGAACACCACACGGGCGTTGAAGTCTTTGAATTTTTTAACAATTTCATTTAGGCGGGATGTGAAGACAACATCGTAGCTGTGAAAAAAGGAAAGGAGAAAAAGGGAAATTAATGGAAATCCAGGGAAAATTATTTTAAAACAATTCTTACCTATCTGTAAACATAATAAGGGTATCCTTTTCATCTTTAAGTGGTCTTACGGCTTCTCTCAAGAGATTAACCTTAAAGCCACCACCAACACTGGACATATCACCACCCTTCCATTCTTGATCCAAACCCAGGGGAGTGACCTAAAACAAAACCAAAAAAAGATAACAAAAAATATTAAATTTCATTTATCAGCAAAAGAAAAAATTAAAATAATTATGATTTTCTGGAAACAGAATTTTCTAATCTCATGTTTCTTAACCCAGCCGAGAGCAGGGGTCATTAGAACAAAACACCCGTACTTTAAATTGTCATCTTATTTCCAAAACTGATAAACCGGCTTTTTTCTTTCTATTTCTGGGTCATCGTCAAGCCAGCATCCCAGTGTTTTTTTTTAATTCATTCATATTTTGGTTTTTATCAGTTTCCAATAGGAATTCTGTCCGGACTACGTGATTGAAATAACGCCTAACGTATAAACAGAGAACACATCATCATTCATAACATTGTTGTTGTTTTCCTATTTTCTTATAAACACAAAACGCAATGAAATGAAAATGTGTAAAGAAAATCCAAACAAGAATAAAATTGAGAAAAATCTGGAACATCATCACAACCCAACTGCATTGAAAACCATATGTGGCTTGAATTAATTTTCAAAGAAAAGAATAAAAAACAAATAAGAAAAATTTAAAACAATAACAAATGGGGATATTATATGAAAACGTATTGAACATGTGTTGGAAAAGGCAGGGCAATAAAAAAACCGAACTATGACAGAACATTAACCAGTTGATATGCGATGCGGTTCGGATGTGTGTGTTTGTTTATTAGAACAATAGAGACGAAGACAGAAGGCATGATTAGCCGGTGCGTTTGGTTTTAGTTTACATGATGAGACAGAAACCGGATGCAAATCTGGAAATAATTTTTATTATTTCGATTTTTTAACGGTCTATGACCTCACAGGAATATGATATTTTAACAAAAATATTTTCTTTTTTCAAGAAAATCATTATCTCTTTTAAAAATTATCTTGGAGACCGAATCTTTGAAGAAGAAAAAAATCTAAGGGAAATGCATTTTTTGAATAAAAAAATTAAAAAAAAAGATAATTGTAAATTAAAAAAACTATTTTAGAAAATTCACATAGTAATCTGTGCAGAATTGTGTCCCAATCGGACAAATATTGGGAGTTCACCTAAAATCGGATGAAACTATATATGGGAGCTATATCTAAATCTGAACCGATTTTAACAAAACTTCGCAGACATCAGTCTGGACCTAGTTCAGTACTCTGTGCAATATGTTATCTCGATCAGGGATGGTCCGTATGACAAATTTTTGGGTTTTCGACTGTCAAAAAGGTGTAAACGTCGAAAACGTCATATACCTGTATAAAATGTAGTAAATGTAGAAAACGTAATTTATTCGAATATTATTACCATATACCGTTATTTTCAAAACTACATATTAGTTTTACATATATCTGTCTGTTCCTTACTAGAATTAATACAAAATTCTAAACTTTTTTTAGAAAATTTTTTTGAAATTTTATATGGATTTCAGTAAAGCATACGTAATTTCCAAATTCACTAATGGAAATAGGTATTTTGTCAAAAACCTAATGGTTTTGGGTGGATTTCCGACGTTTCTGACGTATGTAATATACGTCGAAAATGTATGTCATTTACGTCACTATTTCTGACGGACCATCTATGATCTCGATCAGGCAAATATTGGACGATATGTGTATCATTCTCACCCTAAAAAAATATTTAAAAAAATCTATGCCTATCGCTGGGCCCTAAAAGATATGTTTAAAAAATCCACGCCTATGGGCCTGGGTTTGGACATTAGATTTTCTTTTATCGAAGCCGTAAGATATTTTTTAAAGCGAAACCCATAGGCATCTGTTAGGAATTTAGGAAAATATTATAAAAAAATGGGAACCTTCGAAAAATATTTTGAAAAACTTAGAAAAAAATTTTAAAAATCCTGGCCTATGGCTGGACCTTAAAAACATATTTTTAAAAAAATCCATAATCTGACTTAGGAAAATATTTTCAACAAATCTACGTTTATAAGAGGACCTTAGGACGGGCTGAACCTTAAAAAAAAATTTGTGGTTTTCCCTTTGCATGTGAAGACTACGCTTGCTTTATTTTGTAAGCCTTAATGTCTCGATTTTTGCCACTTCACCACCAACTTGACAATTTTCTATCGTCTCTGATTCATGTATTTTTTTCAGATTACCTATATATAATCTCAAAATATATATAATTGACATTTTAAAATGACTGAAACATTTATTACCCTGTTATTCTGAATAATTAATGACTCGACGGCAGCGTTTTATTTGAAATTAGGTGGAGCTTGCAGAACCGCTTAATTAGAATAGTTTATTGCAAATTTATTGATTAGGTTTGTTGCTGTTTTTTTAATGTAGTTTTGCTCGTAAATTTTGCATGTAATTGATAAGAGAATCTCGTGAGGTTGGCAAGAAAAATGAGGGCGGGGAAACAAAGTTGCATTTCTTAACAAAAAACAAAAATTCTTTGATCTCTAGCTACTACATTAAGGAACTTAGTTTTTTTAGTAATTGCCTTTGCCTAATGTAAATCAATATCTGTTAGGGTGTTTTCACCGTGCTGATCTGTTCAATACTTTTATGGAGTAAATAAAACTAATTTAGTTAATTTTTTTACTCAAAGTTTCGTTGGTCTTTTTCAATAATTTTCTTTCTGTGGCAATTATCAGTTTTTTAGTTAGAGTGGAGGAAATCCTTTGCCATTCCCCTTTCCTGCCTCATTGTGCCTAGTTTAAATAGAAAAACAATAAATTAATTACAATTAACAATACAAGTCAACATTATCAATACTTAGTTTGTTTTCATTCTCATTTTGCAATTTGTTTTCATTACTTCACAGCTCTCAAAACTCTGACCAACAAAAATTATCGAATTGAATATTCCGCAAGCGTACATAATTCAAGTTTAATATATTCAAAACCAAAAAATTGATTATTTTTTAGAGCTGCGCTGTTATTTTAAATGTCAAGAAAGAAGAAAAGACGAAGATGATTGAAGAAAAAATACAACAAAGTTAGCTTGGAGTTTACGCCAACAGTTACGCATCAAGTGTACAGACCATCAGCCCTTCCCTAAGAAAAGGAAACCGGTAATGCTTATATGTGAGTGTGTGTTTGCCAAACAAATGCCGGCTACCGCGGCTTGACAAAAAAACATCAATCAATTTGATGAATGTTTTAAAAATTAAAATAAATATCTATGATCGCTAATAACCACTAATCATAGTTATTTGATATTATTTTGTTTGTGTAAATGCTATTCAAAACCTGTTTTAATTCAATATTTGGTTCTTTTGTTTTTTATAAAAACACCATTCAAACTCTGAAATGAATATCGTTTTGTGTGACTCCTATTGTTTGGCGATTAGTAGTTCTGATCTAAATGCATTAATTGTTGTTATTTGTTTATCTTCTGTTCCGAAATAAACTAGTTTTTAAAAATCGTGTCTCTTCTGTGAATAGGGAGAAAGGTGTTAAAAAGCATTTCTTATTAGAATATTTATGGTGGAACTTACCTCAATATCATAGACCTTGGCTGAACGCATATAACGCAAGAAGCCATCGGTACGCTCGGTGGCCACTGTGAAGACTTTTACTTTGACTGTAAGGGAAAATAGGGTAAAAAGAAATCGATTAATAAATGGATGTAGGAAATAGTTACAAAAAAAAAATAGTTAAACAAAAAATTAAAGAGAACAGTATTAAATTTGTACCTATACAAATAAATGAGCTGAAGAGGAGATTTATAGACGAGCTGAAGGGAGTCTTTATAGACGAGCTGGAGGGAGTCTTAATAGACGAGCTGAAGGAAGTCTTTATAGACGAGCTGTAAGGAGTCCTTATAGCCGAACTGAATAGGATATTTTATATACAAGCTGAAGGTATTCTTTATAGACGAACCAAAGGACATCTTTATAGAAAAGCTGTATGGAATCTTTATAGATGAGATGTAGGGTGTCTTTATGGACCAGCTGTAGTGGTATTTATGACGAGCTGAAGGAAGCCTTTATAGACGAGCTGTATGGAATCTCTATAGATGCGCTGAATGAAGTCTTTATGACGAGTTTCAGGGAAACTTTATAGACGAACTGAAGGAGTCTGTATAGATGGGCTGTAGGGAGTCTTTATAGACGAGCTGTAGGCAGTCATTTAGGTGAACTATAGGTAGTATTCGTAGAGGTAGGTGGTAGTAGCTGGAGAGTTCTTATATACGAACTAGTACATCTTTACATGTTAGATTTTATGCCAAGAATTCATAACTCTCAATTTTCTCTAATGATGCCACAAATATTGCATTTCTTTGAATCCTTTTATTATTTCTCCATTAGCCTTTCGACATATTTTAGACTTTCTTCTGAAACTGTCAAGTTCTAATGTTCTAAAAATATATTTTATAAAGGATCACTTTGAGAAAAAAATTATTATGTTTTTTTAATTTTTTACTTTTACCAATAATTGTGATTATATGTGCTACCTTCCTTCTTGTTATTTTATTAAACCCTTTTGGAATATTTTCTAAATGAATCTCATCATATTTTTCCTGACAAATTTAACTTTAATATAAAAGGTTTTGGAATCCATCCTTTTTTCTTGTTATATCCTCATAATTCATAATTATCAATTTCCTCTAATGATACCACAAATATTAAATTTCTTCGAATCCTTTTATTTGTTTCCTCCAACATCCTTTGGACATATTTTGCACTTTCTTCTAAAACTGGCAAAATGTTCTAAAAATACATTTTTACTTTTACCTATATTGGTTGGTGATGGCCACCTTCCTTCTTATTATTTTATTTAACACCTTTGGAATATTTTCTGATTGAATACTACCCTATTTTTCCTGAGAACTTTGACTGGCCTTTGAATCCTTTTCTTTTGTTTTTTATCCTCATTTTCATATCTGAAAAATGCAAAATTCAATTTCATAAAAACATTACTTAAAAAAAATTAATAAGTATCCAATTTTGTTATTTTACCTAAACCTGTGTGTATACATATCTATATGTCCTTGAGTACAAAATTCGCACACTTGTTGCTTGTCCTAGTTTTTTGGGTTTGAAACCGGAAAAAAGCATGTTCATCCATAATCATGTCACTCTTATCTCTACAAATACACCATATACACATTTCATTATATATTTCCAAGAATTATAAATTTAATATTCACATGCCGAATATTTCATTTCACATCCATGAAATTATACATATATACCCGACACCATCATTGCACACATGATATTCTGCATGAATGCATTGCCTTTATAGTTTTCCAAGTGTATTTTTTGCATAGCTCTTATTAAAAAGAATGATATCATGTTTTTTTGGATTCCATCCATATAGGCAGAACACATTTCAAAAACAACAACAACTAAAAACAAATCTTTAAATTTTTTCCTTTATGATTTCTTCACCTCCAGCCAGCCAACCAACCAACTATTAGGCTCTTGAGTGTAATAGATATGGCAGGCAGACCCAACCATCCATCCACAACATACCCCTCTCCTGACTGACTGGTCTCAGTATATAAACATAAAATAAACTATAATTATTAATAAAAAACAGAAATAAATGAATTGCAACTTTTTGTTTACATACCATCAAGTGGTGTTTCATCCTCCACCGCCGCCGCCGTTGACGTTTCCGATATCACTTCATCTTGAATGCATTTCACATGGACAATTAGCACACACAGTAGTAGCATAAAGCTACTACATTTTTTAAAACTAAGCATATTTTGTTTTTGTTGTTAAATAATTATGAATTATTTCGCACAACTAGAGGAGGAGGGGTTTTATGTTTCCCGACTTAGGATTGCATGAGATATAGCTTCCTTTTTTACACTTGTTGTATTCTTGTGATTTCCTTCTTTTTTGTTGATATTTCTTTTCTTATTTGCTTCCTTTACACTTAATTAATGTATTTTATTTACTTTTCACTTGTTAAATAGCGTTTCTTTTTAATTAATAAATGATTTTTATTTAAAACAAAGTAAAACACATCCCCAACAAGTTCACGCACGCACCACAAACCAAACCGCTCCAGACAAATGTTTTGTGACAAATGAAATGAATTGCTCCCCTTTACAACAAATGAAAATAAATATGTGCTCTCACACTCACAGTCGCTCTCAGTGAGAGGGCGTTGCTACACCATTGAATGATAACAATGGCTGGAGCACAATGCAACGTCAAGGCGTTTGGCGTTGAATGGCGATAATAAAGAAGAAAATTCGAGATAAAGGCAAACTGTGGGCATTTATTTAAAAAAAAACATTGATATTAAATATTAAATTATCAAAAAATATTGGGGAATAGTTTAAAGAGAACAAAATGCTCTCTTATTATTATGTATTTATAGAGCTCAATGGAAACGCTAAGGCGTTTGAAATTGATAATAAAGAAAAATTATTGATAAAGGAAAATAATTATTAAATGAAAATTTATTAAAAAATGTTACTAAAAATTAAAATATTGAAATCATATAATATATATATTTTCTATTTTAGTAACTAAAATTATTATATAAATGTTAGGAAATAAAAACTTTATATTTTTATTAAGAAAGAATTATTTTTTTTTTTTAATATTGCATATAAAATTCACGCTCTGTTAATCCTTAAAAATTTATTATTTTAAAACCCCATTGGTGATAGAAAAAATATTCTATAAAAATCGATACACTATACTAGTTATACAAAGTCTTCATAATACGAGCTGAAGGGAGTCTTTGTAGACGAACTGGAGGGAGTATTTATAGGCGAGCTGAAGGAAGTTTTTTAGACGACCTGAAGGGAGTCTTTGTTGACAAACGGAAGGGAGTATTTATAGACGAGATGAAGAATGTCTTTATGGACGAGCTGAATGGAGTTTTTGTAGAGTTTTTATAGATGAGCTGTAGGGAGTCTTTATAGAGTCCTTATTGAGGAGCTGAATGGAGTCTTTATAGACGAGCTGAAGGAAGACTTTTAGGTCAGTTGATGGAAGTTTTTTTAAACGAGTGGGAGGGAGTCTTTGTAGACGAACTGAAGGGGGTCTTTATAGACAAACTGAAGGGAGTCTTTTTGGCGAGGAAGTTTTTTAGACTAGCTCAAGCGGATTCTTTTTATATATATATCAGATATTGGGATGTATTAAAAAAAGTAATTCAATTACTTTCAAATGAATTTCGAATACAAATAGAAACCGTATTAATTTTTATTATAATCAGTTGCCCGCTTTTCCCGGAACTATACGAATTTTCTATTTCTATTCTATAGAAATATTAATGGAATTTTATTTCTCATTTCTCTTTATAAATTTGAGAAGTTAAACCCCAATTTTTAATATGAAAACAAACCACATTTTAATTCTTCAGTTATAACGTTGATAGTTGTTTGAAATAATATTACGGAATAATTTATATATATTTTTTTAATATTCTTGTATTATTTCCACTCTTCAATTTCTAAGAAATATGTATTTCATTCAAAATTCAATTTTGGCTGCTGCAGCATCTTATCCAAAGATTATTCTTTTTTTTGAAATGCGTAAGCAATGGGATCTGTCTTATCAGAAAAAAAGTGTTAAAGGTCATCTTCTGATTATGAACGTCTACATCTAAGTTTTGAGTCACCCAAAACAGTGTATTCGATATTTGATATTTATGGTGAAATTGATAGTGCACAAACATGCACAAGATGTTTCAAGGGATGGATGGTTTGTTCAAACATTTTTCCAAAGTGATAACAATTTTGGATTAGAAGAAAATATTAGGGGTTTACAGATAAGTGTAGGAAAATTTATAGTCTACGAGGGATTTAAAGAGATCGAAAAAGAATTAGAATATTTTGGAAAAAATAACTAAAATGTATAAATGCTGAATTTTTTAAATCATTTTTTATAATTCGTCTAACACAGTTTATTGGCCTTAAAGGCCTTAGTGTTACGGAATGAAGAATTTTATAAATTAATTATTTAATAACAGTCTTCAGGTTGATTTCTGAGTATAGAAGAACAAAGGGATAATTCCCTGACTATTGGAAAAATATCAACAAACTGGGCTAAAAAATCACCCACTTAGGACAATTTCAAAAAGTGTTTTTTTTTTATTTTATTATACCCGCTGCTACAAAGGAAGCACCAATAATAGTTTTTTCTTTTTATTTCATTTTACCTTAAGCTTCATAAAATGGTTTTGCTGAAAATAAAAATTAAATATTTTTGTTTTTGTAGTATAATATAATTATTCTTCGTAAAATTAAAAAGAGACTTTATTATTTACATAAAAAAAGAAAGTTAAGGACATATTTAATGATCATCATTTGCTTTTGTTGGTTTTTCTTGTTCATATCTTTCTTTTCTTGACGAGGGCGTTTTTTCGATTTTTTTTTTTTTTTTTTTTTTTTTTGGAAGAAGAGCGTTGGAATATAATTTTTGGCCGAAGATAAAAATATATATGGGTTGCCAATTAGATTCGATTTGATACGTTGAATATGTATACATGTATAAAAAATGCCAAAAAATATGTATGTGAGTGTATAATATCTATGTAATATGGATAAATATGCAAATAAATTAGGCGATGAATTAATAACCTATAAAAAATTTCTTTTGGGAGACCAAATTTTGCGTTTCTTATGAGTTAATAAATGTGTTATGTTTCCATGACTTTCCTTTTTTCTTTGGGGGTAAACTAGGTGGTCATCGTTTTCAACAAGAGAGAAATGAAAATAAGGACATGCTCTCTAAGGAAAATGAAAGTCTTTTTTTTAATTTTTTTTGGGATAAACCAAAAAATGGATTAATTCCTTTCTTTCTAAGAGATTTTTGTTTTCATTCTTTTGTTTTTTTCAAAAGGCCTTGGATGATTACACCACAGCGGGGTTTAGAGGGGGAATTGGTCAATATTTAGATTCAACTGATTTTCTGTTGTTTGTTTACTGCTTCTTTACAACATGCCAAAACCTTTGGAATAATTAATGGCCTTTAAAAGTCGTTCTTCCAGCTTTTCTTTGCTGCTATATTCCGGTAGTAAGAGCACATTGAAACAGGTATGTGATGTGGGCAAGCGATCACTGTCTGGACCATGTCTTGTTATCAACAACTTAAGGCGACTGAGACCTCCAACCGGTACACGATCTGACCCCGTGGTAAATTCCAATAGTTTACGTTTAGATTCTTCAGGTAGGCTATGGACAATGCTCCAGAAATCCTTGATGATTTGGGTATCTTTGGTATAGCCACCTTCGTATTCGGTGGATTTTTCCAATTCCACAAAATCGAATTTCTAGAACGAAAAAAAGATTAATACAAATTCTGAAATTTCTAGCAACTCTACATACCCTACTACCACACACGAGCAACTCAATCTCTTCTGGTCTAAACAACAACTGCAGGGGCGATTCATCGGTAACCATATCGAAACCTTTCTTGAAGGCCTTAAATTGTTTTTCTATGCTGGTGTTGAGCAAAAAATCACTATACAAATCAACAAATTCCTTTTTGTTGTGTTGACCCACGGCTATATCACCACCACCTGGCTTTAGTTCATGTTCGACCACTTCATCGAATACATTTTTATAGCTAATTTTAAAAGTTTGCATGAAAACCTCTTCCATATCGGATTCTTGATAATCCAACATCGATTTAAGACTTCGATAGAGGGTGGGGTTCCAATCTTTAAGATCATAAAATGAACCACGACCACCCATTAGTTTACGATATACGACCATGGGAAAATTCACAGCCAAAATGATGTTATTGTATATGGCCAAGCCGATTATTATGCCGATCAGGGCAAATTGGGCGCCATTTTCAAAGGGTGAGGGATTGAACCTGGAAAAAAGGAAAATATATCGAAATTAAATTGAATATAAAAATAGATTTGAAATGGAGGACATGGATTCCAATAAGAGGTGTTATTTTGGAGCCCTGAGGAGCATCTACACCACAGTAGATGAGTGGGGGGTCATATACTCCCTAGCAAATGACGTCTACTCCATAGCAGATGATCCTGAAGAACATCAACTCCACAGTAGATGATCCTAAGGGTCATCTAATGTGGAGTAGATGTTCCTGGGAACATCTACTCCACAGTCGATGACCCTGAAAAACATCTACGCCACAATAGATGATCCTGAGGGTCATCTACTCCACAATAGATGATGCTGGAGTTCATCTACTCCACAATAAATGATCCTGGGGGTCATATACTCCCTAGTAAATAGATAATCTTGAGGATCTTCTACTCCACAGTAGGTGACCCTGAGGATCTTCTACTCCGAAATAGATGTCACTGAGGAACACCTACTCCACAATAGATGCCTTAAAAGATATATTCCTTATCGTTATGAAAAAACCATCCAAGGATCGGACTAAAAAATTACATTTTCTTTGGTTACCAAAAACAAAATACATCATGTTGGAAAACCCTCCCTCATCCCCTTCAAACTTACCACATGGTATTGGTTTCCTCTTGATGAACAAACATGCCAAAATCTGGATTGAAAATCTCCTCAACAATCAATTGAAAGAATTCTTTGGACACGCCACCCTCATCGATGCCCTGCTCACCCACAAATTCCACCACCAATTGTTTTTTCAAGTCTTTAGGATTACTCATGGCCACCAGTTCCAGCTAAGGGACAATAAAAACAAATTAAAAATATTTCCAAACTCATTTCAAAATTCCACATACCCCTATTAAAGCATCATTAACAATATTATCACGTCGAACTTTTAATTTCAAATCCGGGCGTAGACCCACATCATTGCCATCACCCAAATAATTGAACAGTGAATACAGAGAGGAGTTACGCTCACTATACATACGAATGCGACTGTCATAGTACAAGGCAATGACTTTGGTGGCGGGGGTTAAAATGAAGGAATACAACATAAAGGAGAAATGGTTGCCTACAAGGAAAGAAAGTTCGATAAGTACATGAATAAGGTTTTTGAACAGTAGTCTATCCTTACCCGTTGGATCTAATGACAAATTCTTATACGATAGATAATCCCGATCCATTTGTATGGCATCACTTAACGGCTCATTATAGAATTCTTCAAATGGCACCAATGGTATCCGACAATCCATGCACGATATACTCAGCTCCTTTTCCAAATTATCTTCGGAAAATGAATAATAGGGGAAATAAACAAACATGCCATCATCGTAATTATTTGCCCCACTACCGCCAGCTGAACCGGAAGCAGCATCAGGATCTTCACTGCCATCCTTGGTGGCATCGTCGTCCATAGAGGCAGCAGATCTACTGTACGTATCAATTTCACCAGCCAAGAGGCTGGCATAAAAGGCTATCTGCAAATTTCAGAAACGATATAAAATAGGGGGAGTATTGGAAAAAAATAGCCGAGCTTACCTTTAAAACTTTGGTTACCGCTATAACATCACTATTCTCTTCTACTGTATCCTCATCCATTATGACTTGCAGGGTAATTAGCTGCTGACAGCATTGTACAAACGACTGCAGCTGATCCTTACAGTGTACGGACCAAATGCGTGCTAAACGTGCCTGTGCCTTAATGGGCATGGTCTGTGCAGCCTGACATAGTTTGGGCATACTTCTTTCTAAATATTCCAAGTCGGCATAACGATTTGAGCCTGGAAAGAGACAAGAAATTAAAGATTTAAAAAATAGAAGTTAAAAAAAAGAAATTTAGGTGGCCATAGATATGTCATCTACTCCTTTTTTTAAAAATAGTTTCCAATCTAATTTTCTTCCAACTTACTTGTCGTTGCCATATCAAAGCATATAACAAAACAATGCAATATCTTCTCCCAATCATAGAAACGTCCATATTTTATACTCTCCGCCAGCAGTATAATATTATTATTTAATGCTTCGTTCACGGCATTATTATTCAGTCCATAAAGTTTCTTTTTGACGCGACGTAAACTTTCCAAATCCACCTGAGTATCACAACTTTGCGTAAGCACAACAATGTCATCCAGATCCACGGAGACATCATCTTCATCCATGGGTTCGATGCCCTCAGAAGCAGACACTACACCACTAACACCCACACCTGCAGCATCAGCATCACCACCTCCATCATTATTAGCTGATGTTTGTTCCATATCCATGGAATTAGAGGAATTTGATGCGGGTCTAATATCATTGATGGCATCACTATCGATTGTTGTTGCTGGTCCAGTGTCATCATCGTCCTCCGCATCGATACAGGTGCTATCCTCATCTTTGTCATGCTCCCCTTCGAGAGTTCGCAAATCTTCCTTTTTCAGTTCTTGGGGTGATTTGCCCAGAATTTCTTGCAATTTCGAGGCATTGGCGGTGTTTGAAGCCAATTTCACCAGCGGCGGACGTTTAAAGCTTTTACTTAGTTTCTTAACCGAACAATAGACCTGATTAATGGCATGTATTAGCCGATCATGGGAATTGAATTTTGTACACTCCTCTATTAGCTCGTCGATTAGTTGTTCATTTAGATATTCCACATTTTCGAGAGTGGGTGTGGTGGGAGGACTTGTCGTGGATTTTTCCGTCTTTCCATTACCCGATGTATTGGGTGTTTCCACCTCACCCAAGGCTTCGAGAAGTGGCAACTCTTCGGTGGCACAGCTTGATATATTGGTATTACTACTACCCGTCGAACTGGCAGAGGATGAGGACGTTGAGGAGGAAGTGGAGGATGATGATGAACCTGAAGTTATGGTACTATTTGAACTACAACTGCTGCCGCCGCCACCACTTGTACTGGCAGCAGCATCTGGGCCGGAACATTCCATATCCATGGTGGCTGATCGCGAGCTGGAGGGTGAGTCATGCTGGGGACCTGTACGGGGCACTTTGGGTTGTTGCTGGGCATAGTTATCACACAATGGTGCATCCTGGGAGAAAAGAGAAATTGCCTTGGCCGCAATTTCATTGGGTGACATGGGAGCCACTTTACCACTGGAGGCACAATTGACATTGGAACATTTGGGATTACCACAACCCCGCTGCAGCTGATAGAAATAGCGTTCGATTAACTCCTTGACGGCGGAACGTTTCATGTCCGTGGGTGTTGGTGAGGTATGTGTAGTGGTAGAACTTGTTGTTGTTGTCGATGATGTTCTGGCTGGTGGAGGTGTTTGCTGCTGACTTTCTGTTGTTACGACGATTGGTCTTTGTCCTGCTACAGACAAATCTTGTGGCACACTAAAAAAAGCAAAACCAACAACAAAAAATGCAATTACAATTTTAAATTAATTTATATTTTCCATTGCCCCCCAACTCACCTTATTGTTTCTTCGTCATCTGACATTGGATGGTCTTGTTGTTCTATTAACTGGCCGTTGTTCTCCTCTGCTGTTCCTGCTGCTCTTGGCAACTTTAATTTATTCTCGTCTGTAGGGTTCATATGTTTTGCTTGCTTTAGAATTCTTCTTCAGTTTCTGCCTTTTATAGCAAATATCCGTTTTCTTTCTTTTCGTAGCTCTTTCGCGGGGGGCTATTTCAAAAGGGTTTATTTTCACTGTTTTTTATGCTTTTCTCACAATTTAATCCAATTTATTTTCTATTGGAAATGCTTTGTGTAGATAGATATCGTCGCAGTATCTCGCAAATAATTCCTTGTATTTTGGAAAAAAGGAAGAATGTCAAACTGCCAAGAAAAAAATCAAATCATCCTGTCAATGAGAGTAACCATTCACTCTATTGTATTGCCTCTGTCAGGCAAGTAACCGATAGTTGTGTTTTTTCTTATTGGATGGAGGGTAAACACGGCCGGGCGTATTTAGCTGGGCGTAAAACGTCATTGTACAGGGGAAAATAATTTTTTTTTTGAAATTAAAATAAAAAATTAATAAAAAAGGTTTGAAAGGATTACACCAAATGACAATTTTAAAAACATTAAGGAGTTTTCAATAAGAACTGTTACTTGGAAATTAATTTTTTGTAGATACATAATCGGGTGATTAATTCATTCTGCAAACTTCTTCGAAAGTCTGCGAAAACCTTCTGAGATCTTCAAAAACCCCGCTTGACCTCAGAAAACCTGCAGAGTGCTCCGAAGGAAATATGAGACAAATTTAATTCTTCTACTGAGGACTTCCAAGGCGATAGAAGACCTGTTATGAACTTCTTGTGAAGTCCTGTGGACTTCCAAATTAATAAAATACTGTTATTGGCCTTCTGAGAACTTTAAAAGCAAAACTAGGCCTGATGGGGACTTGGAGAAATCCTGTGAACTACGAAATTAACAGAACACTGTTATTGGCCTTGTGAGAACTGCCTTAAAAAATATACAGAGACTTTTTGCTGCTAAAAATAACTTGATAATCCATCTGTTGAGGACTACAATTAACAGTTGAAGAACTTCTCTGGACTTAGAAATTAATAGAAGATTTTTTTGGCCTTTTGAGAACATTAAAAACAGCGGACCTGCTGGGGGCTTCTAAAGATCTGCTGAGGAATTTTATGGCTATGAAAGACCGGCTGAAGTCTTTTCTTGACAATAGAAAACCTGCTGAGGAGTTCTGAGCGAATTTGAAGACCTTCTGTAGACTTCTATTAGCCTTAGGAAACCTACAGAGGACGGCGAAGTCCATACTATACATACTAAAGGCATCTAAATGAATCAGTTGACGACCTCTTCTGGACTTGGAAATCAATAAAAGAACGTATACCGATTATACCCCAGAAACCTATTGACGATTAATTAATTTTTCTGTGGTGATATAAGGGCTTCTGAAGTCTGGAAAGGATCATATTATTTTCGTGAAATGTTTTTTCAGGTTTTGAATGTACGTTTGGTCTTTTCCTTTATGAGTAGATTTTTGTAGTACGGGAACAGGCCCAAAATTATTCATTTGGTTATTTCATTGAAAATAATCGATTTTCTCAACCCTACCATTTATTGTCATTTTCGATCTATATAACGCTAATCACTTGGCATGTGTTGTGCATTTGTTTACGTTTATTCCAATAAGGAATTGTTCTAGAATACTCCATTTCCAACATACTCAATGGATTCCAATTGGAATACACCCTTGCATGTATGAATATTTTGTATGAATTATGAATTAGGTGAAACTAGTGCCGTTAGTTCACTTCACTGAACCCATAATGTCAACAGCTGCTTTGCAATCAGCTGTTAATGTGCCACATTCATTCGTAAACACTAACTAAAACCTTTATTTGTTTTGATTCCCCGATTCGTCCGATTCCGATTTTTGGACCTAAGAAAGCCTAAGACTAATCTTTGTTTGTTTGTTTTGATTCTGGCTTTATCAGTTACGTTTTAAATCTATTTCCCCTAATTCCGCAACGCCGTCAAAACTTTAACGGAACGGCATTGTATTTAGAAGGAAAGGAACGGAAAGCAAGCACGTCAATCGAAGGAAGAATTCATTAAATTCTTTTAATATTTTAATATTTAATTATAATTATTATAATTTTATTTATTATATAATACCGTAAATACCATACCAGCCAGAAAACATAGGAGTTACAGATTGTAAGTATTAAGTTTTTTGTCTTATTCTACGATTTTCCCGATTTTATCACCTGTTATCTTCTTTCTTGCCTGCGTAATTACGGAAAGAGGAAGAAGAAAACTAACATGGAATAGAAGCAACTCCCACATATATCAGAAGAAGAAGCATTACACACACTGAGGCCACGATTTCTAGAACACTATGAGTAACGAAAAGATTGCCGAAGACATTGCCAACTGTGTGCGCAAGGGTATTCCGTGGCATAATCTGCCCGTGCATCTGATAAATCGTTTCCACAACAATCAACGTGACTACGAGAAATATGTTTTCAATTACAGTCTGAAGAATCAGCTGCGATTCCGCGGCAATTTGGTTAGTAAAATCTTTCGCAAAGAGCAGAGATACTATGAGCTGCTCGTCCAGAAATCGATTAACACCTTGGGTCTGTTCCCCTATCATTTGGCCGATATTGTTACGAAGGGTTTGCGGGTAACCCCCTTCAATTATTATCTTGATGTGCTGTCACAGTTGTTGAGAAATGATAAGAGCTATGATAGCTTACCGAACTTCACCGCTGCCGATTGCCTGCGCGTCTTGGGCATAGGCCGCAATGAATATTTGTCGCTGATAAGTGAATTGAAAACGCATACAACACGTGCATTGCTGTTTACCACCAAACCCAACCCTTTGGAATACTTACCGAGATTTCCTCAGCGTATACGCATTGAGCCCTGGTGGCGGGTAGAGGTGGGTTTTGTTTTGGAAACGGATATTCGTTATGTTACGGCTGCAGAGCGAAGCCTTATCGATGATTTGATTGATTTTGGTTCACAAACTGCTGGCAAATGTGATTACAGTGTGGTCCACAGCCTGTATCGGAAGGGTTTAATTTACCTCGATGTCCCCATTTCGGGTGAGGATAAAATTTCCATTCCGCCCTTGAGGAATTTTGTTATGAATCGCGTGAGTGGTGATTATTTCGAGAATTTGTTGTACAAGATTTTCGTTAGTGCCGATGAGCATATGACTATTTTGGAATTGGCTCAAATGTTGCAGCTGGAATTGGATTTGGTCAAGCAGGCGGTGAGTTTATTTTGCCGTCTGGGCTTTGCACAACTGAAGGAGTCGGCAGCCAACCTGGAAAGCCCTTTGAATGGCTCGAGTAAATATCACGAATCCTGGGATGCCTACAAAAGGGAACAGGCCTTGGCCAAGGAGGCACCACAAATCACACCCTTAAATTATAACAACTATATCAACAATGAGGTCGATGGCCCAGCCTCGGTGGAAACCCCCAAAATCCGCCAGGATGAGGAGAAAAACAAAGACAAAGATTCCAGTTCTATTGGTTATCTATCGTCCGATGGCAATACCAGCGATTTTAGTTTTGCCAATATGCCCACACCCTCGCCACAGGCAGTGGCGAAAAATTCTCCTCGACAAAACTCCGACGATCCTGATCTCTCCTCCGAAATTGATGATCTATCGGAGAATACGACCAAAGCAAGTCTACGCGAGGCCATAACACCCACAGAAAGTCCACCCAAGACGGGTAAACGTGTGGCCTTCCTATTCGATTCCACCCTCACGGCATTCCTAATGATGGGTAACCTTTCACCGGGTTTGAAAAATCATGCCGTCACCATGTTCGAAGTAGGTAAGCTGTGTGAGGAGAGTATGGATTCCTTGCTGGCGGAATTGGAAAAGGTTTCCCTGCTCGATGCTGAGGGAGAGGGGGATGTATCCCGCTACTTTGCTCATGCCGTTATTTTACGTTCCACTATTTGTTCGCTGCGTAATCTCTTACCCGGTGGCATGGATCTGCTAAGGCTGGAATGCCTTGAAAGTTTAGATCAAAAGACTAGAGATCGGGTACTGGAAAAGAAATATAAATTTATTATATCCTCTACCCCGCTAACTGCCACAATGTCACATCTCTTTACCATACCATTTTTTGGACAATTTTTCCGTTCCTCCGATAATTCGCATATGTGGACCAAGTTGTTCTACAATCATATAACAGGTGGGTTAGAAAACAAATATTCCAAACAAGAGTTGTTATTTTGAATTTGAAGAAGTAAAAATGCGTCAACGTGCCCCTCGAGGGCTTGGCCAAAATAACACCTCTAATTGGAAACCCCTGTACGTTTATTAAAATTTTCAAAACTCAATATTAATTTTCCTTTTTTTCTGTATTTCTAGGTTATGGTCCACCCTCCCTGTTCCTTTGCCGTGGCACAGTTCTCAAATCCCTACCGCGAATCTTTTTAGGTTATGGCAAGCTATTGGTGAATATCTTACATTCCGATTCGTATGTCATTAATAGTGAAAATTTCCGTAACCTCAATGATCAATTGAAAAATGGCTGCATTCTCCTGCAAGGTTATGGCATTCGATCACCCGGTGAGCTACACTATGAGGCGTTCCCATTCACCTCCGATGGCAGGAGGGACTCCAATAAATGGTCTCAACACAAAGCAGTGCAAAAGCTGCAGGAGCATTTGGATTTAAAACATCATTGTGGCTATATTACCTTTGTGAATACCGGGGTCGCCGATATCGGTTGCGAACATTATGAATTGGAGGTACGCCTGCGACATCCACGTAGCAAATTAAAGGCTGTACGCAAGGAGAAAGATACGCCCAGCTCAACTGTGCCAAATGTACTTAAATTAGAAGGAGAGGAGGGAGGAGAAGAGAAGTTGGATCCTGTTAAGGATTTGCTATCACCCGATCAAACGGAATTGTGTAGTTTCGCAAGGTCGACAAATTCTCCTCAACATCAAAATCTAAAGACACCGGATGAAAACTATTTTGCCAGCAACAAGGCGAATCAAGAACCCTCAGCTGTCTACACCTCAGAAGATTGCAGTGAGTTGCTGGCCTCGGAATTGGCCAATTGTAGTGGTGGTAAAATGGAATTGGTATCGCAGGGGTCTGTGGAAATACCCCTAGATCGTGAGGCACTACAGAGACAACCAATACTAACTGAAGAAGAAGATGATTCGGAAGATACCACAGAAGAATGGACACTACTGGATGTTAATTTTGGTGTACCCCTATTCGATGTGGATACCAACACGAGAATTTGTGAACAAATTGTAAGACACCTTTCCGCGGAGGAGAACCTAAATGAGTTACCAAGAAAATCCGCCGAAATGGCAGAGAAATTTAACAACTTCATAAAACAATGCCTCTACTTTGAGGATGAACCGGCGGCGGTGGAACAATTGAAATTGGGTAAAACTCTGCCCCACCCACGTATTAATTTGGCCTTTGAAAATGGTAAAGTTTGCTATTGGAATGGTAGATAAATGGGAGTTATCTTTAAAGGGTAATTTTTATACATTGAGCCATGCTGGCGAGAGAGCGAGAGAGAGATCGAAAGACAAAGAATTTCCATCCAGTTTCTTTTTTTGGTTTTTCTGTTCTATTTTTCTTTGTTGTTGTTATTGGTAGGATAAATCAGGATTTTTTTTTCAAAATGTTATTAAAAACAAATTTAGAATTTTATTTAGAGTGAGAGAGTTGGGAAAAAAAATTGCGAAATTTGAAACTAAAATAAGCCCGTTTTAAAATTGAAATAATTCTAATGAAGGAAGAATAATTAAAAGAAGGAAAAGTAAAGAAGAATAGATATTAGGGAGAGGAAAATAATGACCTGAATAGAGACAACGAATAACGTAAAAAATAATTATTATCATTATTAAAAAAAAACCAAATTGAAGGAGTATGTCTATGTGGAAGCTCGGATTTATATTGAAAATGTTGTGTGGAAGATGAAGGTCCCGAAAACCCAAATTTCAGCCACTTCGTAATCCTAAATCCTTCGTAATCCTCGAAATTCCGCAATATGAGGGCCTATACCAAAACTTCGACCGATGTTGATTATTTTTCTAGTAGGAATATTAGCCTCCTAAATAGAACCCGATATGCCAAATTTCAGCTAATTTGGTTGAAATTAGCCCAAAATAACGAAATTTGAGGTACCGTCATATGGGGGCTAGCCTAAAAACTGAATCGATATTGATAATTTTTGGTTGGAAGATTTGCCAACCTATGAGAACCCAAGATGCCAAATTTCAGCCAATTTGACCGAAAACTTGTTAAAAATTCCGAAATTCGGGAGGTACCGTTATATGGGGGCTACCCTGAAATTTGGACCAATATTGATAATTTTTGGTAGAACGATTTAACACCCAAAGCGAACCGAAAATACCAAATTACAGCTGAATCCGACAAAAATTTTGCCCAAAATTCTAAAATTCGGGAGGTGTTGTTATATTTGGGCTAGCCTGAAATGTGGACCAATATTGATAATTTTTGGTAAGGAGATTTTCTACCCGACGAGAACCCAAAATACCAAATTACACAAATTCGGGTCAAAACTTGCCAAAATTCCGAATATTGTAAAGTAACGTTATATGGGGGCTATCCTGAAACTTGGACCAACAGTGATAATTTTTGGTAGAATGATTTAACACACAAAGCGAACCGAATATACAAAATTACAGCAAATTCGGTTGAAAACTTAACCAATATATCGACATTTTGGAGGTACCGTTAATGGATGCTATCCTGAAACTGGGGCCAATATTGATATTTTTGTAGAACGATTTAACACCCTAAGCGAACTCATAATAGGAAATTACAGCCATTTTGGCCAAAAATTTGTGCAAAAAATTGAAAATGTTTAGGGGTACCGTTATATGGGGTCCACACTGAAATTTGAACCAATTTGTATAGTTTTTTGTAGCAAGATTTTCTATCCTAAGAAAACCAAAAATTTCAAATTTCAGCCAAATCGGTTAACAAAAATTTCTCGAAGTATCGAATTGTTAGAAGTACCGTTATATGGGGGCTACCATGACATTTGAACCAATATTGATCATCTTGGTACGGAGATTTTCTACCCGATGAGAATTCAAAATATTAAATTACAGCCGAATCGCTTAAGCACTTGCCTAAAATTCCGAAATTCCGGAGGTACCGTCGTATGGGGGCTAACCTGATATGTGGACCAATATTGACAATTTTTGGTAGAACGATTTAACACCCAAAGCGAACCCAAAATACCAAATTACAGCCGAATCCGAAAAAAAATTTGCTCAAAATTCTGAAATTTCGGAGGTGCCGTTTTATGGGGGCTACCCTGAAATGTGGACCAATATTGATAATTTTTGGTACGAAGACTTTCTACCCGATGTGAACCCATAATATCAAATTACAGCAAATTTTTTCTTGATTTAAAAAAAATAAATTTTAGTGAGAAAAATTGTCTGCATTTATAAAAAAATATTTTTTCAAGTTCCAACCAAGGTTTGGAATTTTAAAAAATTATATATTTTTTCAAGGCTGAAACTTATTTGGATTTTTTAAAAATATTTTTTAAGGCAGAATTTTTTTTTTGATTTTTAAAAAGATATAAAAAAAAAAATTTGAAAAAAATATTTTAAAAAAATCCAGATTTTTTTTTAGAAGAAGATGTTCAGAATTTTTTTCAATGTTTATCCAAGGCTTGGATTTTTCAAAAATAAAACGTATTTCTTTTAAACGGGTTTATAGAATATTGTGGGAATTCCTAGTAATAATTTAGAAAAAATTAAAAAAAGTGCCAAAGATTTCCCACAAAATAGAAAACTGTTAAATATATCTATTTCAAAATTTCGTATCTACAGCCACCTCTCTCACCCAATTAAAATCTGCAAATTTGTATTAACATTTATTGGAATTTTTTTTATTTGTTATTGTTTTCCCCCCTTGTTTATTTTCTTCCAGTGAAATTTTTGTTAAAATTGTTTTCCTTTGATTTATTTAAAGTCATATCTTATCTTATAACTTATCTTATTATTATTAATGATATACATACATATATATTACACTATATTATTATCTCTTTCAAAAAAATACATTCCACATTTTTTTGTTGTTGCTGTATTAATGCAATTCGATATGGAATTGCAAAATATTGTCATAGCATTTATCTACTACTACTACAACTACAAGGCTACATAGATAATGTTTTTGTAGCTAATATTTTTTATTGTTTTTTTTTTCCATTAATTTTTATTATTATTATTGTTTGCAAATGTAACTGATTTCCTTCCACTTAATTTTAAACTATAAAAAATTAATAAAAAATATAAAATATTTTTAAAATATTTTCAAAAAAAAAAAAAAAAAAACAAAAACAAAAATTTTTTAAAATGCTGTAATTTTTAGGCCATTAGTTTTAATAAAAATATATACATATATTGTTTTTTATTAAAGTTAAAAAAAAACTGTGCAATTTTTTATGACTTTAATGAAAAAGATTTTTTAAGAAAAAAACAACTATAACCCATGGGCTAAACTATTTAGCCACTTATTAAAACAAACATACATACCTAGAATCTACATTCAAAGCTATATACACATATTACAAAAAAATCCTTCCTCCTAACACACACACACACACAGATACACTAAATTAACAATTTTAATGCTTATTGTAAACAGAAAAAAATAGAAGCGACTAAAAATAAAACAAAATCTATTTTATCACAAAAAAAATCGATGAAAAAAAAATAAAACTAACAACAAACATTTGTGACTAACAAAAAAATCTAAATAAATAAAAAAATCACATATTAATTAATATTATTAAAAATACATATTATTGTAAAAACAAAGCAAATAAAATAAAAATCATAAAAAAATTATTAAACAAATTAATTTTTTTCTAAAAAAACTTTTTAAGGTTTACCCATGGCGTGGATTTTTAAAAATATTTTTTCAAGGTTTACCCAAAGCGTGGATATTTTAGAAATATATTTTTTAAGGGTCCATACAACAATATTTTTTCAAGAGTAACAAAAATATTTTTTTCAATGATCCAAACAAGGCGTGAATTTTTATACCCTTCACGACACTTTGGTGGTACAGGGTATTATTTTCTTGTGCATATGTTTGTAACAGGCAAAAGGAAACGATATAGACACATGGTTCCTTTTGAGAATATGCATAGAATCACTTTCTAAGTCGATTTATGCATGTCCGTCCGTCCGCCCGTTAAATTATAAACAAAGTACAGGTCGCATTTATGATTCGAATTACATGGAATTTGGCACAGCTCATTTATTTGGCCCAAGGACGAACTCTATTGAAGTTGAGAAAAATCGGTTCAGATTTAGATATAGCTCTCATATATATTTTCGTCCGATTTAAGGTAAATGGGTCACTAAAGTCCCTAAATATCATTCGATTTGCAAGAACTTTGGCATGGAGTACTGCATTAAGCCTAGAATGATGTGTGCTATGTTTCGTGAAAATCGGTTCAGATTTACATATAGCTCCAATATATATTTTCGTCCGATTTAAGGTAAATGGTGCACCAAAGACCCTATATATCTTTCGAATTACACGAAATTTGGCATAGCGTACTGAATTAGGTCCAGAATGATGTGTGTTAAGTTTAGTGAAAATCGGTTCAGATTTAGATATAGCTCCCATATATATTTTCGTCCGATTTAAGGTAAATGGTGCACCAAAGACCCTATATATTCTTCAATTTGCACGAAATTTGACACAGCGTACTGCACTAAGCCTAGAATGATGTTTGCTATGTTTCGTGAAGATCCGTTCAGATTTACATAAAGCTCCCATATATAGTTACGTCCGATTTAATGTAAATGGTGCACCAGAGACCCTATATATCTTTCGAATTACACGAAATTTAGCATAACGTACTGAATTAGGTCCAGAATGATGTGTACTAAGTTTCGTGAAAATCGGTTCAGATTTAGATATAGCTCCCATATATATTTTCGTCCGATTTAATGTAAATGGTGCACCAAAGACCCTATATATCTTTCGAATTACACGAAATTTTGCACGGCGTACTGAATTAAGCTTAGAATGATGTGTGCTAAGTTTCATGAAAATCGTTTCAGATTTAGATATAGTTCCCATATATATTTTCGTCCGATTTAAGGTAAATGGTTCACCAAACTCCCTAAAAATCTTTCGATTTGCACGAAATTTGGCACAGCGTACTGCATTAAGCCTAGAATGATGTGTACTAAGTTTCGTAAAGATCCGTTCAGATTTAGATATAGCTCCCATATATATTTTCGTCCGATTTAAGACAAATGGTGCACCAAAGACCCTATATATTTTACGATTTGCACGAAATTTGGCATAGCGTACTAAATTGAGTCTAGAATGATGTGTGCTAAGTTTCGTGAGAATCGGTTCAGATGTAGATATAGCTCCCATATATAGTTTTGTCCGATTTAAGACAAATGGTGTACCAATGACACTGAATATCTTTCGA